GACGTGTGAAAGGCGGATGGTGGGGAAGATGACCACCATCTTACAAAAACCTCCCACTCACTGCGTTCCACCGTGGAGACCACGGACAGCTCCTTCAGAGGCAGACTGAGACATCCCAGATGTAAACCATTTAACTGGTACTGGCATTATCCTGGTACACAATACCACCAATGCAATACTCAGTATCTCAGTATGTGTTCAGTACTCATTCAATACTGGATTTGCATAGTAAGTCTGTGTCCCTTATGCTGCATGGTTGTAGAAACCTGTTGATTTAGAGCAAACAGCCAACGTCCCCACTGAGGGACAACAAGAGGGACGTTGTATTCTGTTCTTCTACCTGTAGCCTTTCCAGTTCCTGTTTTAAAGTTGGTTAGATGTTTCTAACAGGCCAGCAACTAAAAGACAAACATAGTAATTCTCCTAAGTAAAATGCAGTCTCAGCTACTAACGTTCATGCTCTGGAGCAGAGAAACAATAATTCAGGCTCAGTTTGCTCCACTGTTCAAGCCAGAGACTGCACCATCGGTGAGACTCCTGTGGTTAGGGTTAGTCTTCATCAGACAACAGTTGTTCTCACCGGCGTGTGCTGCTGACCACGACGAGCAGCTTGAGCTGGGGTCGTGCCGAGGAGGACAGATAGAAACAGCAGCAGCCACAGACTCACAGTCTGGTGGCTGGTGCGCTTCTATGTCCGCCGCGGCGCGCCAACAGGTTACGGAGATGCTGGAATCTCCTTTTCTGGGATTCATGGTTGACAAAGCTCTGAGTAAAACGTGTTTTCAGTTTGTCCCGGACTGAGGGTCACGCTGCAGACTCCGACACTATTATGGCTCTAAACCAGGCCCCCACAATGGAGCTCTAAAACTGGTCCCAACCCGGAAGTAGGGTTGTCACGGTATGAAAATGTAACCTCACGGTTATTGTGACCAAAATTATCACGGTTTTCGGTATTATCGCGGTATTTTTTAAACGGTGTTGCATATGTTCAGAAAGCATTGATAGTCCTGTTCTACACAAACTGAAATAGTTTTGAAAAGGTTTAACAGTGTTTATTAAACCTAAAATAACACAAAGCCTTAGCAAAAGTGCAACTTTTCACAAGTAAAGGAACAAATAGCTTCTTTTTCTGGAACATGTTACAGTAGTCAGTGCAGGTTTAAATGATACAAATCCAAACATTCAAAACATAAACAATATGTAAACAAATCAAAGAAACACCACTTGTTTTCTCATATACTTGTTTTCTTCATTATCAAAATGAAAATCTAAAACTCCAGTCCACACTTGACTTGAGCGCTGTACAAGTCAACCTTAAAAAATATGTATTTAAAATAAATAGCCACTTTAAACAACTGACTAAAATAACTACTACACTATGTAATCAAATCCAAATGTTCAAGTATAAATGGCATTGAATAAGTAAACAAATCAATGACAAGGAACTAATTGTATATTTCTCTTCATCATCAACAAATAAGATGCTTCATCCAGCAACAGGGTGTCCGTGACACGGTTTAAATGCTGGCAGAGGACGCTGCGGCTGCAGTATTTAGTGACTCGTTGCATTCTCCCTCAACCAAAAGTCCTCACGTCATGCATTTAAGCTAAAATGCTAATGTTAACTTACCTTGCACTGGCTGTAGAGACGTGGGTGATCGTCACACAGATGTGCCATTAGATTCGAAGTGTTACCTTTTGCAGACACTTGCTTCCTGCACGTTCTGCAAACGGGATAGTCGTCTTCTATTAGCTGTCCCTCAGCGTTTTTCAGAAATCCCAAATATGCCCATACTTCCGATTTAGTCTTCTTTGAGGGCGGATGGATGTCCTGGGCGCTGCCGTCTCCTCCTTCGGCCATTATTTCAGCTTCAAAGTTTTGGTGCCGTTGCAAATTAAAAAGTGCGTGTGCGCGCCGCGGGAACTTCAGCTGAAGCGACGGTGGCTGGTAAGGGTCACCGCGCCAAAACCGCGGCCACGGTAAACCCACCGAGATAATTTAGTTTTTTAAAAACTGGACGGTTATTTTTATTGTCAACTTTTTTTACCGGGGTTTACCGCTATACCGGTTACCGTGACAACCCTACCCGGAAGTACCACAAATTGCAGTTCCACCCTCATCCACTAGGGGCTGGTGTCCTCATTGACTCCCATGTTAAAAATACCAATTTCACAGCAGAAATAAACATGTTTACAGCCTGGTACCAGAACATGTTTTTGGTTTAAATGATCTAGTTTACACTCATGACAACTCTGAGGGGGGTGAATGTTTTTCTCACTCTTCTGTTTAAGTGTATTAAAAGTTCCCTTCAGTCACTGCCGAGCTGAGCTTAGATTTTAACATGTACTGTTTAACCATGACATTGAAATGTAATAGGGTAAAACCCAGTGCGTTTAACATAATGCTGCTCTTTAGAAAATGGGTTGAAATATAACATGTTGGTGGAGCTGGGGTCCGACTATCGGCTTGTGGAGCTCTCGGAGACCTCTGTGTTCCACCCGGTTTTACCCAGCGGTCAGCCCGGCGTATCTCTGACTCAGAAGCTCTGGTGTTGTGCACAGTTAACTCCGGTTGTAGCTAGGTTGCTACCTCCGTTAGCTTAGCTCCCACCTCCGCGTTAGCTTTGGGTTAGCTTGTAGCTAGTTAGACCGGGTGTCGTCAGTTGATCCCAGCCTTACAGCCCCACCCTCAGCTCCACCTCTCTTCCCTTTTATGGAATTGTCTGGGCTTGACGGAACCTGTGACACGGTCAAAATGGCGGTGGTGGCCACCTCCCATTTATCTTCAAAAGCGTGTTATTGGGGCTATGGAAACCCATTGTCCAGTATATTAATGTCGATGCTCTAAACAGAAAGGAAGGGCACATCGATGCAGCAAAATGAGCCAGTGGGCCACTCTGGTTAAGGGGAATAAACAAAAAATAACAACAATAATAATCAATCTTGGGCCTAATGAACCGATTTTATGAAATTTATATGAAATCAATCCAAAATCAATGAAATGGATATTTTTACCCAGCCCTAGTCCTGACCGAGGTCACTGTGAGCATGGTGGTCACCAGACTCCTGTCCACGGTCGGCGTCAAGGTTTCAGAGATGATCGAGCAGTTTAACCCAGGTTACCATGACAACTACCTACCTGGCTGATCCCACTTCACCACCATGATGGAAAAGAAGAATTAGACAACTTTTAAGGTGTGTGTGTGTGTGTGTGTGTGTGTGTGTGTGTGTGTGTGTGTGTGTGTCTCTGGACACAAATAAAATTAACATTAGAATATAATACATGATCGAATTAAAAGGTATGACTGAACAACAAGAAACTATTTTTAAAGAATAAAACATTTTCTTGGTGTTAAAGCTTACATCCTTTATTAGACATAACTGAATTATTAATCTGGTAAATAAACTAACTTTAATATCTTCTATCTTCACGCTAAAGCAGACCCTCAGAGCTGTCATGGTCCCTGACTGGAGCAGCCGTGCTACAGAGGCGTGCCTTGGTGTCTCCTGCTATCTCCTGAGTTATGATTGGAAGATGAAGCGCTTCAACCTGGCCACCATGCCTCTTGTGAACAAGTCATGTTTGGTTTTAGGTGCCTAGCTCCGCCTGACTGCAGCATTTGTATTAACTCGTTCACTGCCACTGACGACTAAAGACGTCATATGCATGTTTTTAGTGTGTGGGCGTCGGACGAGCCCCCGCGCCGAGAGAACAAACATCTCAGCTCTAAAGCCGATCTTCATCCGCATACGTCACGTGATCAAGAAGCAGAAAATCCTTGTGTCAGGAGATCGTTTTGGGCCGTTCCTGTAAAAAAAGTGAGGCGCGAAGCGGAAAAGCGTCTGCCGTCCACAATTCCACAACAGATTATGAAAGAACGCAGGGTTCCCCCAGCGCTTTAGAAGCCCGGCGGCCCGCCAGGCTAAGCGTCAGGCCCCGCCCCTACCGTGTCCGCTGACACGAACGGCGCAACACAACTAAAGCCCTCCATCAGCTGATACTGGTAAGAAACAGCAGCGGAACGTTGCTTTTTATCACACGGCGTTATAAATCCAGCGGGGCGAACTCTGCCAGTGTCGGCCAATGAGGAAGACGGGGACAGATGTGATGTGTTTACTATGGATGGACACTTCACCATGGAGGACGTGTGGTACTGTCCACTGTAGATGATTATTTACAATATTACTGCTCCAACGTTAGATGACGTGTTAACATTAGTTTCTTTAGTGCGAGCGTCACTGTTGAGTGATACCTTGTGTGAACCCGGTGTGAGAGCAGCGGCTGAACCGTGACACCACCACCAGCAGGATCCGGACTTCTTAAAGTGTAAAGTGAAACGACGTTTTAAACAGTTATGAAGCCAGCTAGGTGAGTTTCGGCAAAGTCTGCACCTTGTTTCCACCGGCTAACGGCCGCAGACGGAACTTCAGCTAACGTCTGTAAGCGGTTAACACGGAGCTTTAGTAAAGGCCACTCTCGCTGAGCCCCACCCAGGTGCGCCACTTCTTCTGTAACCAAACTGGGCTTGGACCAGTAGAAGGAACGCTAAATGTGGCAACAAACAACTACAATGAAACACAATTTCAGGCTCCACATTTCCCCTTGTTTAGTACTCGTGTCGCTCACTGTTCACGTGCTTTTGCAGACCAATATGGTCGACTCACGTGATTAGGTGGCGTTGGTGCAAAGGGTCAATAGAAAACAAGTAAATGTTACACCGTTGGTCGGCTAAAACAGGTCATCAACAACAAGTCCCAATCCAACAGGATTTACTGCTGAAAACATGTCACACAAAGTTTTCAGCTTCCTCCTACTAGCGCAGCGCTGGGCAACATGCCGTTTCTAAAACATGGACAGAAACCTGGTTCAACAGCCAGCGGTTTAGCCGACTCATCGCTGGAGTCAAGAAAAACCGGGATTTTCACCCCAGCGGTAAAAATCGTACTTTTACAGATTATTATAATTACAGTTGTTTAAAGCGGTGGTGCAGAATACCAACCCTGCTCCGGAGATAATCTGCAAGGTTCTTCCGTGTGAAGTTTGCTGCTGCTGTTGGACTGAGTTCATAACCTAAAACCAGGAAACAAGCATCAGTAATTGTTGGTGACAAACGGTGAAACTAAGGAAGAGCGCCACAACCACATCATACCATTTCTCATCTTGTACAGCTGAACGTTCTTCTGGATGTACTCCGCGAACTGCACCGTGTCTCCGGCCTCTCCGACACACAGCAGCAGGATCTTTTCACTCAGCTTGAACATTTTGTCATAATCTGAGACACCAAAGAACAAAACTCAGTGTGAAAGTCATCCTCTGAAAAAAGCCAGATGTCAGCACCAGTCGCCCCAAAAACAGAAACCAGGTCCGGATTCAGGCGAGTGATGAGAAAACATCACTTTGAAAAAGAACCAGGAGGTTGGACTGAAGCATCCCTTCAGATCAGATTCATTTACATCTAACTTTAAACAACGATCAGTAACACATGTGCACTGTTTTAGATCAGAACCAGTTTGATTTGGTTTCTGTTGAACACAACCGGACTTTCACTTTCACCGCCGGGGTCGCTCACCACGAGATTTAGCAGGCTAGAATAAAGCATATAAACATCCTAAAGCTCAGAACTAAACTCAGAAGCTAAGTTTGATTTCTAAAAGGCTCATCGTACCTCTCATTGGCCGGTAATGGCTTTATTGTCTTACTTTTTAATCTCCTTTGGCAAATAAAATGTGACAAATGGTCATTAATGCGTTAGAATGAAACAGCAAATCCTAAAATATAAAGACTTATACGCAGACACGCGTCTGACAAACAGAAACAGAATCAAATGAGAGAAGAGCTAATGCTAAGCTAGGTAGCTAACACACCGTGTTTCATCTGAATGATGCTGCTGGCGGCCACATTATCGGCTGCGACGAGAACGAAATCCGGTCCCTGTATACCGATTAAATATTCCATCGTCTCCAACCGAACCAACACGGAATAACGGTGAAAATCAGGTGAGACAGCAGTCAAGTATGAGCGTCAAGCGTCCGGATTACACAGCAAAAACTTTGCTCTTCCACTGGCGCGGCTTGTTAGAGTCACGATGATGTTGTCGTCATCACCGTGCGACTCGAGCGGGTAATTTCGAAAGTGGCGCCGTTGTTTGAGCAACCGGAGGAGATTCAATCGAAACCGAGTGAATAATTCGCTGTTAGTGGGCAGATTTCAGCATGGACGAAGGCTCGCCTCATGGGGCGATGGCGGGAGCTAACGGTCCTCTCGGGCCGCAGCGAAGACGCTCGCCGCGGTTCAGTTCTCCGCAAGCTCCGCTGGGAGGTGAGAAGATGGCGCTGGGAATTAAACGCTCCATCACCGTGCGGAAAATAGCGCCCAGAAAAACGAGCGCTTCGTCTAAACACAACAAGGAGAACACGCCGAGGCACTCCGAGCAGGTACAGCAGCTGAAGACCAAAGTCTCAACCCCCGATCCCGGCCCGGACCGCAGGGCCTCCTCCTCCGCCGCGAGGAAGAAGCAGCAGGCGCCCATGCCCTCACGGATCCTCCCGTCCTCCCCACCGGACTCCTGTCGGACCCAGCAGCCGGCTGCTGAACCAGAGGCCGGCGTGTGTGCGCAGAAAGCCCGCCGGTCCTATAGCAGGCTCAGCGACAGTTCCCTCCACAGTAGCCCCGACTCCAGAGAAACGTTATTCGGCTTCGAGAGGCTGAGGACCCCGGAGGTTGTCCGGAAGTCCAAGCAGACCAGGGACGCTCTGGAAGTTTCTGGACCCATCACGTCTTTCACTGAATCGACCGACGAGGGCTTTGCTGAACCGGACCCGAACATCCCCGGAGTGTCGGTGTCAAAGGAGCGGAGGAGGAGGCGGAAGGTGCCGCAGATTGACTCGGCCGAGCTGGACCATCTGGCCGCTCAGATGAACGCGGAGTTCCGGGAGGCCGAGGAGTTCGAGTTGGTGGTGGAGTAGAACCGAACCCACCAGAACCAGCGTATGGATCTTTGACTGGAGGGGTGGTGGGGGTGTAAATACGTCCGGGACTCTTGATGGATTGTATATGTAGCTCGTGAAGGTTTTTTTCTCTACACCATCATGGTTCGGTCCATTTGGACTTCCTGTGTCGGCTCTGTAGCTTGAGAGTTCTGGATAAATCAAAACGGACTTTGTTCTGGTTAAGCGGTTCTGATCAGATCCCAGACCGGTTCTGATGCAGTATTCTTTACTGAATAAACCAGAGAAACAACACGAGCCCAGTAGAACCGAACCAGAACCAGAACGTCTCTGCTGACAGAGTTGAACTGACTTCAGGTTAAAGCTGCTTTTCTGGCTTTGTGGAGTTTTTTGTTGGACTTTTCCAGGTTTTCCTGTCAGTTTTCCTTTCTGCTTCCTAATAAACCCACACTGAAGCAAGCACCCTGCCTGTTGACCTGTTCACACGTCACTTCAGATTAGAGTTAATCTGGGCTACAGTTAACCTGGGTTATAGTTAATCTGGGCTACAGTTAACCTGGGTTATAGTTAGTCTGGGCTACAGTTAACCTGGGTTATAGTTAGTCTGGGCTACAGTTAACCTGGGTTATAGTTAGTCTGGGCTACAGTTAACCTGGGTTATAGTTAATCTGGGCTACAGTTAGTCTGGGTTAGTGTTAAACACAAACAACAACATTGACCATGATCACACATTTACTGTGTTTAAAACCAAACTTCAGACCAGAACACACGATTGGTCACACACTCCATGACATCAGCACTTTACCTGACAGCATTAATTTAAATATAAACAACCCTGGTACTGATGAAAGGGTGAATGTAGATAACACATTTACTGTAATTCACATCATTGTGTCTCTCAGTGAACACCTGGTCCGTTCAGAGGACTTAATCCAGCGCTTTACTATGAATGAATGAATTTAGGTAGAAACCAACAGCTGACCTCGGTTAACAGAGGCTGAAGCTAAAGACAAGATTCAAACCCTAAAACACCGTGTGTGTGTGATATGGACAGCAATTACATCAGACAAACCAGATGCATGGTTTCAGTGTGTTAGCATGAATGCTAATTTGCAGCACTTGTCCACAGACACCTTTTGTAAAAGGTAGAACACATTTAAATAATCAAATCAAAGAAAAACAATTAAAATTACAAACATTTTCTAAAAATAAAAGGCTACTTAAAGAGCAAGTCACCCCCAAATCAACTTTTTTTGCTGATAAACTAAATAAACGAGTGTCTAATCGTGCTGCAGACACGTGTCGTCAATAATTTGGCACTTCAGTGCATCTTAGTTAAAATTTAAATATTCTACCTAAAACTGGCAGTGTTGTGCCATCGTCAGGTAAAAACTGCACTGCATTTGAATTTAAATCTGCCACCGCTATTGGCTAAGAGGTATGCTATGATGTAAACTGGTACATTATGATGTCACAATGCCATTGTGAGCCTGAGTGTGTGTGTATTTGTTGGCGGCTCCACCCTCTCGGTCTGCTAGGCAACAGCATGTGTTGCATTTTTCAAACATGAAGTGGGAGTGAAGTAAGTTTCTTGTGGGGGGGTGACTTGCTCTTTAAACAGCAGATTAAACGAGTTTAAAACTATTCATGTGGACATTGTTCTTTAGACTTTAGCCTTTTTTTGAGTCCTTTGTTAGAAACATACTCTCAGCGGGTAGGGAGTTTAGTTTTAGCTCAGCGGGTAGGGAGTTTAGTTTTAGCTCAGCGGGTAGGGAGTTTAGTTTTAGCTCAGCGGGTAGGGAGTTTAGTTTTAGCTCAGCGGGTAGGGAGTTTAGTGTTAGCTCAGCGGGTAGGGAGTTTAGTTTTAGCTCAGCGGGTAGGGAGTTTAGTTTTAGCTCAGCGGGTAGGGAGTTTAGTTTTAGCTCAGCGGGTAGGGAGTTTAGTTTTAGCTCAGCGGGTAGGGAGTTTAGTTTTAGCTCAGCGGGTAGGGAGTTTAGTTTTAGCTCAGCGGGTAGGGAGTTTAGTGTTAGCTCAGCGGGTAGGGAGTTTAGTGTTAGCTCAGCGGGTAGGGAGTTTAGTTTTAGCTCAGCGGGTAGGGAGTTTAGTTTTAGCTCAGCGGGTAGGTAGTTTAGTTTTAGCTCAGCGGGTAGGGAGTTTAGTTTTAGCTCAGCGGGTAGGGAGTTTAGTTTTAGCTCAGCGGGTAGGGAGTTTAGTTTTAGCTGAGCGGGTAGGGAGTTTAGTTTTAGCTCAGTGGGTAGGGAGTTTAGTTTTAGCTGAGCGGGTAGGGAGTTTAGTTTTAGCTGAGCGGGTAGGGAGTTTAGTTTTAGCTGAGCGGGTAGGGAGTTTAGTTTTAGCTCAGCGGGTAGGGAGTTTAGTGTTAGCTGAGCGGGTAGGGAGTTTAGTTTTAGCTCAGCGGGTAGGGAGTTTAGTTTTAGCTCAGCGGGTAGGGAGTTTAGTTTTAGCTCAGCGGGTAGGGAGTTTAGTTTTAGCTCAGCGGGTAGGGAGTTTAGTTTTAGCTCAGCGGGTAGGGAGTTTAGTTTTAGCTCAGCGGGTAGGGAGTTTAGTTTTAGCTCAGCGGGTAGGGAGTTTAGTTTTAGCTGAGCTGGTAGGGAGTTTAGTGTTAGCTCAGCGGGTAGGGAGTTTAGTTTTAGCTCAGCGGGTAGGGAGTTTAGTTTTAGCTCAGCGGGTAGGGAGTTTAGTGTTAGCTCAGCGGGTAGGGAGTTTAGTTTTAGCTGAGCGGGTAGGGAGTTTAGTTTTAGCTCAGCGGGTAGGGAGTTTAGTTTTAGCTCAGCGGGTAGGGAGTTTAGTTTTAGCTCAGCGGGTAGGGAGTTTAGTTTTAGCTGAGCGGGTAGGGAGTTTAGTTTTAGCTGAGCGGGTAGGGAGTTTAGTGTGAGCTGAGCGGGTAGGGAGTTTAGTTTTAGCTCAGCGGGTAGGGAGTTTAGTTTTAGCTGAGCGGGTAGGGAGTTTAGTTTTAGCTGAGCGGGTAGGGAGTTTAGTTTTAGCTCAGCTGGTAGGGAGTTTAGTTTTAGCTCAGCGGGTAGGGAGTTTAGTTTTAGCTCAGCGGGTAGGGAGTTTAGTTTTAGCTCAGCGGGTAGGGAGTTTAGTTTTAGCTGAGCGGGTAGGGAGTTTAGTTTTAGCTGAGCGGGTAGGGAGTTTAGTTTTAGCTCAGCTGGTAGGGAGTTTAGTTTTAGCTCAGCGGGTAGGGAGTTTAGTTTTAGCTCAGCGGGTAGGGAGTTTAGTTTTAGCTCAGCGGGTAGGGAGTTTAGTTTTAGCTCAGCGGGTAGGGAGTTTAGTTTTAGCTCAGCGGGTAGGGAGTTTAGTTTTAGCTGAGCTGGTAGGGAGTTTAGTGTTAGCTCAGCGGGTAGGGAGTTTAGTTTTAGCTCAGCGAGTAGGGAGTTTAGTTTTAGCTCAGCGGGTAGGGAGTTTAGTGTTAGCTCAGCGGGTAGGGAGTTTAGTTTTAGCTGAGCGGGTAGGGAGTTTAGTTTTAGCTCAGCGGGTAGGGAGTTTAGTTTTAGCTCAGCGGGTAGGGAGTTTAGTTTTAGCTCAGCGGGTAGGGAGTTTAGTTTTAGCTGAGCGGGTAGGGAGTTTAGTTTTAGCTGAGCGGGTAGGGAGTTTAGTGTGAGCTGAGCGGGTAGGGAGTTTAGTTTTAGCTCAGCGGGTAGGGAGTTTAGTTTTAGCTGAGCGGGTAGGGAGTTTAGTTTTAGCTGAGCGGGTAGGGAGTTTAGTTTTAGCTCAGCTGGTAGGGAGTTTAGTTTTAGCTCAGCGGGTAGGGAGTTTAGTTTTAGCTCAGCGGGTAGGGAGTTTAGTTTTAGCTCAGCGGGTAGGGAGTTTAGTTTTAGCTCAGCGGGTAGGGAGTTTAGTTTTAGCTGAGCGGGTAGGGAGTTTAGTTTTAGCTGAGCGGGTAGGGAGTTTAGTTTTAGCTCAGCGGGTAGGGAGTTTAGTGTTAGCTGAGCGGGTAGGGAGTTTAGTTTTAGCTCAGCGGGTAGGGAGTTTAGTTTTAGCTCAGCGGGTAGGGAGTTTAGTTTTAGCTCAGCGGGTAGGGAGTTTAGTTTTAGCTCAGCGGGTAGGGAGTTTAGTTTTAGCTCAGCGGGTAGGGAGTTTAGTTTTAGCTCAGCGGGTAGGGAGTTTAGTTTTAGCTCAGCGGGTAGGGAGTTTAGTTTTAGCTGAGCTGGTAGGGAGTTTAGTGTTAGCTCAGCGGGTAGGGAGTTTAGTTTTAGCTCAGCGGGTAGGGAGTTTAGTTTTAGCTCAGCGGGTAGGGAGTTTAGTGTTAGCTCAGCGGGTAGGGAGTTTAGTTTTAGCTGAGCGGGTAGGGAGTTTAGTTTTAGCTCAGCGGGTAGGGAGTTTAGTTTTAGCTCAGCGGGTAGGGAGTTTAGTTTTAGCTCAGCGGGTAGGGAGTTTAGTTTTAGCTGAGCGGGTAGGGAGTTTAGTTTTAGCTGAGCGGGTAGGGAGTTTAGTGTGAGCTGAGCGGGTAGGGAGTTTAGTTTTAGCTCAGCGGGTAGGGAGTTTAGTTTTAGCTGAGCGGGTAGGGAGTTTAGTTTTAGCTGAGCGGGTAGGGAGTTTAGTTTTAGCTCAGCTGGTAGGGAGTTTAGTTTTAGCTCAGCGGGTAGGGAGTTTAGTTTTAGCTCAGCGGGTAGGGAGTTTAGTTTTAGCTCAGCGGGTAGGGAGTTTAGTTTTAGCTGAGCGGGTAGGGAGTTTAGTTTTAGCTGAGCGGGTAGGGAGTTTAGTTTTAGCTCAGCTGGTAGGGAGTTTAGTTTTAGCTCAGCGGGTAGGGAGTTTAGTTTTAGCTCAGCGGGTAGGGAGTTTAGTTTTAGCTCAGCGGGTAGGGAGTTTAGTTTTAGCTCAGCGGGTAGGGAGTTTAGTTTTAGCTCAGCGGGTAGGGAGTTTAGTTTTAGCTGAGCTGGTAGGGAGTTTAGTGTTAGCTCAGCGGGTAGGGAGTTTAGTTTTAGCTCAGCGAGTAGGGAGTTTAGTTTTAGCTCAGCGGGTAGGGAGTTTAGTGTTAGCTCAGCGGGTAGGGAGTTTAGTTTTAGCTGAGCGGGTAGGGAGTTTAGTTTTAGCTCAGCGGGTAGGGAGTTTAGTTTTAGCTCAGCGGGTAGGGAGTTTAGTTTTAGCTCAGCGGGTAGGGAGTTTAGTTTTAGCTGAGCGGGTAGGGAGTTTAGTTTTAGCTGAGCGGGTAGGGAGTTTAGTGTGAGCTGAGCGGGTAGGGAGTTTAGTTTTAGCTCAGCGGGTAGGGAGTTTAGTTTTAGCTGAGCGGGTAGGGAGTTTAGTTTTAGCTGAGCGGGTAGGGAGTTTAGTTTTAGCTCAGCTGGTAGGGAGTTTAGTTTTAGCTCAGCGGGTAGGGAGTTTAGTTTTAGCTCAGCGGGTAGGGAGTTTAGTTTTAGCTCAGCGGGTAGGGAGTTTAGTTTTAGCTCAGCGGGTAGGGAGTTTAGTGTTAGCTCAGCGGGTAGGGAGTTTAGTTTTACT